GTAATAATGACATGTATGGATTCTATAACAAATATTTAAATTTATTTTTATAAATATAATTTTTAATTATACAAATTATTTGCAGAAATTTATTTTTTAACTTCCTATTCTACTTTTGTAAGCCCTGAAAAATATCCTAAATTTAATACAAGTCTGAAACATTTATTTAGTTGCCTCTCCAAGGTCTTTCCTAGGCTCCAAAGGTACAAAGATAATTAGAATAACAACCTTTGCCTCTAGCAGATAAAAATTTAGAGAAACTTAGCAGCTACTGGTTAAAACAAGCAAACAAACAAAAACCTTCAACTAGAGAACTTCATAGATTTTAAATGAAAAAAAAAACTTACTTGTTTTGGGATATGCATATTGCAAACAAGCAAACTTGAGATTTGAGAAAAAGACAGCATGTTTTGTATGAGTGAGAGGGCCTCCCAAAACCATTTTGCATGGGATAAAAATTACAAAGTTCTAGAGAGTTATGAAAAACAATACATGAAAAAGAAAGGTAATAAATTGATCTCAATGGAAATATCGGAATTATAGCAATCATTTTCTACAGTCCAATTTAGCTAGTTTTAAACAAATTCTTATAGATCTTTTTTCTTCTCTCCCATCATATAACCATCCTTCATCAGATATTATTTAGTCTATCTTCCAAACATATTGCTACTTCTTCCTTACCACCCCTACTGGTAGTACTCTTGTCTAAGCTATTATTGCTTATCTGATGTTGTGGTTAGAAAAATATGCCTCTTCAAATTCTTACTTCATATATGAGTGAGAACGTGCTAAATATATCCTTCTGTGCCTGGCTTATTTCACTTAACATAATGTTCTTCATTACACATTTTATAACTGTATTAAAATATCACATATATACCATAATTATATACAACAATTATATACTTATTAAAATTAAAAGAAAGAATTCCTGCTTCAAGAGGCTTGCTGGATTAATACATCTATCTTCAGCACTTTGAAATCCAAAGCTGCTTTGTGCTAAAGCCAAACTTTCCATGGGCTGCTCCCCACCGATGACAGCACGACAAAGATCTAAGTCACATGCCTTTCGTGGGATCCACGTAGCAAGATGTTCTTGACTCTAGAATTCCCTGTCAGCCTTGCCAAACTTTCTTAGATATGTACCGAAATCGAAGACCAACTATCCCTCCCTCCCTCCCTTCCTTCCTTTTCCTCTCTCCCTCCCTCCCTTCCTTCCTTTTCCTCTCTCCCTCCCTCCCT